ATATATATATATAATCATAAGCCAATGAGTTGTACTTGTAGCTTGCACTCGATCCATTAATCTTTAAATTGTCCTAGTGACGGGCTTGAAACTTTCATATACGTAGTATCATTTTTTTTCCATGTCTTTGGATCTTGCTGTAATAATAATAAAAAAAATTAAAATCATAAATAACGGTATATATTTACTGTTTTCTTCCATTTTCTTCCTTGCACATTTATCCTTGATTCATGCATGGATATCACGTAAAACATGGCAATTATTAATACTGAGAAATAAAATGCTTTTATTATTCATCGGATGCGTGCATAACACAGAATAAATTTTCATTTTTAAAGAAAGTATTAATCTACAATAAAATACTGTATGACCCATCAGATTTGTGGAACCTTGTTATGGAATACTTTAAGTATACACCTTTTTGTATCATAAAACAACTAACGAAGCCTCACTTCTGTACAACTGTGGCGTCTAATTCCATCCATATTCATCTGCAGATTTCTTCTGATTGGAATTAGTAGTCATTGAACAAATTAATAATTGTTGAGTCAAGTTAAAAATACTGATGCCATTTTTTTTAGGCACTTCATAAGGAGAAAAATTTATTTAGCTAGAAGAAAGAGACAGAAGCTCAAGTAGATGATGGTTGGTGATATAATTAAGTTTGCTACAGGAGAAAATTTATGTATGATTGCGAATGTCTGATTCTGGCTCAGTTTTATGGTCCGTGCTACTATTAGGTAGTTGCTTATGAGTTGTCAGAGCTACCGTGATATAAGTAAATAAAAAAACTTTCCCACAGATTCATTTCCACGTTAGATTAGAGACTCAATACTAAGATGGCTGTTAAATCCATTATTCATCATATGCCAGATTAGTAAGGTGAGAAACTTGTTTCACTGATCCTCTAGACTTTGTTGTAGATACAATTACTTTTTGCTGCTATATCATTTAATCTTTGGGCAACACTCATGCAGTTCCTTTACTTGTTACATTTGTTTCCTTAAAAAACAAATCGTTACATGTGTGATGGACGTGGTTGGCAATATCAAACAGCATTATCAACTCTGTCCTTAGTTGCTAATCATTATGTATGAAGACAAAAACATGTCCCCACACGGGACTGACCCATCTTATATACATGTAAAAGCATCACCCTTCCCATTCCCGATTCATTCCTCAGCCCCATCCATGCCTTTAATTAAACGAACCTCGGGTCGTATTGACAGATGTATTTTAGATCTCAGTTTTATGGGTTTATTTTAGTTTATACAACCTTAGTCATTACAGTATTAATTTACCATGGATTCCTGATGACAAATCATAATTGCAGCGAAGCCTCAATGGACAGCACCTGTGTAGTCCAAGAACTTGAGGGAAAGGAAGAAAATAAAACGTGTCATTCAAAAGGCTATGCTTGAGATAAACCATCTGATCATCCTTGATTGTGAATGAATATATTAGTATATCTAGACCAAAGTTAACCAAAATCAGTAAATCGATATTTAACAATGTACTAGCAATATTCATGATTTGACTGATAATGCATAAACGACCTAGAAGCAAAACAACTTATCCTTTTGAGCAACTGATGTGAATCCTGAAATTTTACAATTGCATCAGATGTGTAAGGGAGAAGATTTTGCATCCAAAAAGCATTTAACTATGGAGAAACTCCTCGGCATTACAATAGCATTTCCAAGGCCAATGTAATGAGTGAAAATAGAGAAGAAAACCAAGCAGAGATTATGCAGCAGGGGGTGGGAAGTGGTGAGGCACATGATCAGCATGAGGTGGAAAAATAGGAGGAGCACACGTGTGAAATTCACTAATTCAAGGCTACGTGGATTCGAATATTGATAGTAGTATAAATTGGTGGTTAGAGGAAAGAGAAAGGGGCGGTAATTGATTCGATTTTCTCTCTCTCTGGACTTGGTTGCTTTTGGAAAACAGTCCCTCTGTCATTTCCATTTTCTGTTATTGCTATTTGTTCTTTTCTGTACTGAATGCGAAGATGGGAAAAGAAATAGCCTCAGGCATGAATTGCCATTTTCATATAACATCATAGCTTTCTATTGCTATATTCTTCTTTACACATAACAGCCAATCTCAGTTTGATTCCCTTTTCAAGAGACAATAAGGATTAACATTGTCAGAAATCACAAATGAGGATTGGAATCTCAAGGTGAAGTGAGACCTCCAAGTCTGCCCCTATTTGCAACATCCAAAAATCTATTTTCCATGAAAATATGCTGCTTCTCAACTCCAATCAAAGATCCCCTCAGTAATTTATTTCCAAAACCAAATCAACATAAACAAATGTAGATGGGTTATCTTTGATCAACAAAATCTAGTATCGTCAAACAGGAATAAATTGCCTGTGACATGACTGTTAAACCAGAAGTCTAAACCTGTGATTCAGCACAAATATACTATCCTTGATCCATCTTATGCTTTGGCATTGATTCCCTATCCTTATTAATAAATGTGTTGTACCTCAGTCAAATACTGTGATTACTGATTGGCATAAGATTGATTCATGAAATTCTCAAGAATGGGATAAACTGATATGGTATCACTATGACTTCCTCTCAATTGAATTTCCCCAAGTGATTTACTTACCAGAAATCTCTGCAAGAACAGAAGCCATCCTTGAAATGGTGAAACCGACTTGAATCTCTCAAGATAATTTCCCTTTTGGCCGTCTTGGACATGAACTTCGCCATCTCATGACAATCACCACATACTCGTAGGTTCTTGGTGACCCTAATTGTCCTTCCAGGCGGCAAATTTAATATACCAAAAGCCATAGCTAACTTCTCACTGTGTCCACACAAAGCCGTTTCCTTCTCCAAGTCATCTGCATTAATCAAGGCATACCTCATCTTCGGAGAGTAACCTTCATTCTTCATTTTAATTCTCAAATTATTCAGTAATGAGGCTATCCTTTCAGCTTGAGGGTGTGAAGTATCTGCAGAAACAAAGATGGTAAATTTTCCTTGGACCTCAATCCAGCTACAGCCTGGGCTCTTTTTTAGACCCCGCTTACCAATCCTCTCTCTTAACTTCTTTACTTCTTCCCACTTTTTGGCCTCTGCATAGATGTTGGCCAGAAGAACATAATATCCTGTGTTTTCTGGCTCTAGCTCAAAAACATGTTCTGCCACTTTTTCTGCTAGATCCACATCATGATGGATCCTACACCCACAAAGCAAGGCACCCCAAATTGTTGCATCTGGTTTAATTGGCATTGTCTCAATGAACTTGTAGGCCTTCGATAGATTTCCAGTGCGAGCAAGGAGATCTACCATGCAAGCATAATGCTCTAATTCGGGCTTCATGTTGCATTCACTTATCATGGAATTAAAAAATTCCCACCCCTCGTTCAGTAATCCAGAATGACTGCAAGCATAAAGTATAGAAGTGAATGTAATCTCATCAGGCTTAATACCTGCAATCCTCATCTTCTGAAAAGTTGCAATTGCTTCATTTCCAAACCCATGCATACCATACCCAGCAATCATAACAGTCCAAGTGATCAAATCCTTCTCGGGAATCATATCAAAGAGCAACTGTGCATGAACTAGTGACCCGCACTTTACATACATATCGATAAGTGCATTTGCTACATGCAAATCTGATGAATACCCATTTCTCAATATGCGCCCATGTATCCCTCTTCCTATCTCTAGAGCAGCTAGGCTTCCACAAGCTGGAAGAATGCCAGCCATTGTAAAGCCATCAGGTCTAGACTCTTCTTGCATCTCAACAAAAAGTTTAAGAGCTTCATTAGGGAGAGAGTTTTTTGAATAACCTCCAATCATGATATTCCATGAGACTGTGTCCTTAACAGGAATTCGAGAGAAAACTAAATAAGCTTCTTCCATGCTTCCACATTTTGCATACATATCCATGAGTGCATTAGACACAGGCAAGCTCAAGGACAAGTTGTTCCTTCGAAAGTAATTGTGTACCTCTCTGCCTTTATCCAATGAGTTGCTACAAGCGCAAGCATGAAGGACACTAGTCATGGAATAAACATCTGGAATAACCCCTTTGCTTTCCATTTCATAGAATAACCTTATTGCATCATCACACAGACCTTCTCTTACATAAGCAGCAATTAATGAAGTCCAAGAGACAACAGTTGTTCGACCCATCTTCTCAAAAGCTTGAATTGCGTCAGTTAAATCACCACATTTTGAATACATGTCTAGTAAGGTATTGTTAAACATAACTTCCCTACTAAAACAAGTTTTCACTCCGTGACCATGAATTGCTCTACCCAATGAAAGACTACCAATATTTGCACAAGCCACAAGAGCATTAACCAAGGTAGCCAAATCCACAGCAACCCTCAACATAAGCATTTGAATGAAAAACTCAAGTGCAGTGTGGGAAAAACCATTCATCACACACCCACTTATCATAGAATTCCAGGACACAACATCTCGATCACCCAATTCATCAAACAACTTGTGTGCACTGTCAACTCCTCCATTTTTGAAGTAAGCTGCAATTAGAGAGTTAACAACACTATTACAAGAACCAAAACCTAGTTTATAAACATACCCATGAATTTTTTTACACTCTCCTATCCTTCCCAAAATAGCAAAACATTTTAAGATACATGAAAAAGTATAAGAATTCCCTTTAATTCCCAGTTTCTGCATTTTTCTAAAAAGATATATACTTTCACGATAATCACTAATCTTTGCGTATTGAGACATCATAAGATTCCACAGAAAAGCCTTATCACTGTGAATGTGATCAAATATCCGTCTCCCTTCTCTCAAATCTCCACAACTCACATACATGAATACTAGTTTTGCACCCAAAACCCCTTCAACTGGTATGCCACTGGAGTAGATAATTGAATGAACCATCTTACCCTCTTGCAAACGCTTGTACTCAGCACAGAGCTGCAAGATGGAACAGTAAGTGTTCAAGTCAAGTTCGGATTTTTGGGACATTTTGAGCAATTCCACGGCATTTCCGAGATCACCCACCTCGCAGAATTTGCAAATTTTGGCGTTTTCATCCAACATGGGATAGACACCGACCTTAGTGCTACGAGGAACATCCAAATTCAAAGATAACAAGCAGGTTATTGGAGATTGTCTGAAGAAGATGAAACAATTCCAAGGTTTAGCATACTTTGCTTTATGACAGTTAAGAGTTGAGTAAGTACTGAAGTTGGTTATGCTTTTTGCCATTGTCAACAACTTACTAGTCCTGTCTCTGCTGTGACTCTGTCTGTTCTTCTTCAAATGCTACAGCCAATTTTGTTTTCATAATATTTTTTAGAATTTTTTTTAAGAAAGAACTTGAGTTATCATGTATATTCTCCGACCCCACAACTGTATTTAAATATTGTTTTTGTTACATAAACTACATTTAAATATGTTTTAACTTCTAGCATTTTAGCTTTTTCTATTTTGCATTTTATCCTTATAAACATCGTTATTTTTTCCTTTATTAATTTTCCGTCGACATAATTAATTTCTGTCAACTACTTTCAATTTAAAAGAAACTATAAAGAACAAAACAAGATCAAAGTAAATTACTTGAAATATCAATATGCAAGAAAGAAAATCAAATGTAAATTACTAGAAAAATAGATGCATGAATTTTAATCCACCTAATATTTTAAAGCTGATAATCAAGAACTAATCTATATTTGTAAGATGTGATTTTTGTTGATCAAACATTATTTTAATACAGATAGTAATCAAATTTAAAATTTTCAAGTTGATCCGTGTATCCTAAAAAAAAAATTGATTATTCCTTTAAAAATTTGTTCGAAATATATTATAACACGATATATCAGTTAATAATTTAAATATAATAAAAATTTTACCATGTATTCGAAAGATATTTTTGTTGTATTTTTTGGAAGATGTAGAATCATTCATCCTAATACAGACCTTACAACCGTTGAAGAAATAAGAGACTTGATTAAAATACTTGAATTTGAAGAAAGAAGTAGAAAAAAGATATAATTAAAAATTACTTAACAAAATATTGTAACATAATTTGAAAATTAATTCAAATAGTAATTATGTAACTTAAAAGCAGACTTAAATCACTAAAAATGTAAATTAAAGTGAAGGCAAAGAATAAAAATGCTTCAATAGTTGAATTGAAAAAAAAAATGTCTTAATCTAAACTTTTCACTAAAAAAAAAAAGGAAAAACCAAGATAAAAGTGTAGGAACGTAATTTCTTTTATTTAAAATAAAAATATACATTTGGCTCAATATATCAGGAGTTAATACCTGCCAATCAAACCAAATTAGTTTAAGAAAAATATTTAGGACAATAGCGCTAAATAAAATAAAAACGTGAAGTAATTAATGTTGTTTTGTGTAAATGTTTTTATCCACTAAAATTAACATATAAGTCTTATTTATAGGTTTTCACCTGTAACAGCGAAGAAATATAATACTAGAACATGCATGTGTTTAAATTAATTACACAGGCACGATAAGATTATCTATGACATGTGCCTCAATTTATGTGACACTAATCCAAATTCAGTTTACTTTTTAAATGCAAGAATGAAGTATGAAATGGTCTTAAAGTAATATATAAGCTTGATAATTTAGATCATTTATATAAAGCGCCAAAACACAGACATGAGACATGCGAGCGAGAATACTTGTGAAATAACTTTTTTCTTTTTAAGGTAGAAATATGTCATATTACCTCCAAAGATTTTACAAATAAGCTCGAGAATACTATTTTTGTTTCAACGCGACAGAAAAAATAAGTTACGCAGTGGTATGGCAGGCCATTACCTCCAAAGATTTGTTTGTCAAAAGAAGAATTTGAATCAATTTAGCTAAGCTACGTTTGTTAAGCACGATTATACTTGAAACCATATTAGAATGACAGCCAAACAAATGAAGAAGAGAAAGGAACCTTTTACTTTTTGTTTGTTTTGCAGCAAATTCTGTACTTAATTCTCTTCTAACACACAAGATCTATTGCCACCAAATGTGAAATACTCTCTCTCTTTCACTCTCTATATTTACTTAAGAACAACACATTCAAATCTTCAGATTAAAATCCAACTAAATTGTGATGATCCGTCATAGTATGTTGCCAGAAATCGATCATCACTCACTATATTTAGCAAGTATGAAGAATTGAGGGCAAGGGTAATAGAGCTGATTCACCAGCTAAAACATATTTACACGAAAAAACCACGGCAGAACAAATGCTATAACCAGGCATGCCATCAAGAAGTTACAAAATGGCTGTCCTCGCCAGCATCCACCAAATCTACGTGATGAGTTACCATCGTTGTTCATGAATCTTTCGTTCCACTTTTCCATAAATCCATAATCAGTAACACCCGAAACATTTTTTGCAGTCTCACCACATATTTCACATAACCTGCGGTTAAAAAAGCTAGCTCATATCAATAATTTATTTGATAATATTGTAACAAAAGGCACTCACTTGACAAGAGACCATTTTTCAAATTTAGCACCATAACATAGAACATAAGAACCTAAAGATTATGCAGAGACAAGTTAATTGGGGGCATTAGAGGGAGATTTTACAGAACTTACTTTAACAAATGAAAATCAATTATGATCTTGTATAAGCTTTTCTTTTTAGCCTAGAAGAAATTGTTAAAAGGGATTGTGAATAATATCTATGATAATTCGGTTTTTAATCAAGCTCAATGACATCGTATGATCTATGTATTCGACCTCACCTAGAGGAATAAGACTTTTGTTGTTGTATTTCAATAAGTTTTATGAAGTAATTAATCAAAATAAGCTCTTTCCAAACTTATGAATAAGCTTTTATGTGATAAGCTCGTTTTGAACAAGTGCTCAATTAAGTTGATGATCCAAACTAGTCCCTTTACATATGATACAAGAATTAGGATTGACAACGATTGATCCTTTATACTAGATTGTAACAAAATGGTTCTCACTTGACATCGGACCAATTTCCATTTGAAAGTAGGAACTTCAGAATTATTCAATGAAAAACTAGTTTACATTTATGTTGTCGGAAAAGAGGGATTGACAAATATGTCCCCATGATATCTAACAAATTTTTCGCTAAAATGACAAATCATTTTGTGGTGATAAAAGGATAAACTTACTTCTCCTAGTCCATGCCCCATATGTCATCTGAACAGAGAAACATCAGATCCAAAAGAATCTTCACCAAGACAGTTACAAGCGCATTTTTTCAAATATCAAAGACAACCGACACTAATATCACAATCAGATGCAATAATTTGCTAGTTTCCAAATTGAGACTTGACAGTATCATATGGATGTCAATTAACCTCAACTCACAGACATTAGAAGCAATTTGCTAATCATGTTTATATCTAACCCATAATCTTACACCCTAAAGGAGAAAAATCCACTGGTGTCTGGATACATTAGCTTATTAGCTACAGGAACTCCAAACATACTGATGGCTGCTGATACACACTATACAACTATGCTGGGTGCAGTAAAGATGATATCAGTTCTCCAACTGGAGATGTACCAATCCAAACTCCAAATCAAATAACAGGGAGCTACACTAACCAGTTCACAGATGGTAATGACAAAAAAATTCAATGTGAAGAGGTCGACCTCAAATTAGTGGCAAGCATAAGCCCAGCCATGAATCAACATATTTATAAGGATTTCACAAGGCTCAAAAGATTTTAAAAAGACAGGTCAAAAAAAGAAAAGACCTATCCAATATTATTGTTGAAACTTGAAATTAATAAATATTAACAAGGTAAAAACAGCATGCAAAAACACAGCAACAAAAGGGCAAGAAGAATATTTGCTTCCAGAAATTATGCCAAACTGGATAATTAAGGTAAAAAAAATAATAAAAAAACCTTACAAATCCATCCATATTTAGGAATTCAAAATAAGGCAACATCAGGAACATGATCAATTTTCAAAGCTTCAATGCAAAATCTCAATAAAAACACCAATGTTATTGTTTAACTAGAAACAAACAGATATTTGGCAAGAACATATACCTGTTCCCCTTGAGCCTGAACCACGCCTCAGCACAATGAACATGTGCAATGCCTAGCTCATCTTTACATGCGCAACCAAGCAGAATCAAATCTGCACTCGTTGCACTACTAGTAGTGCCAACAGTTGTTTCATCCGACGGTTGCACAGAAGCTAGATGGCAAATCCTACAAATCTTTTCACCTTCAGAATTCTCGTATGACTTTTTGCGGCTGCTGCACTTTATATCAATCACACATGAACTTTTATCAGTTTCAGACACGCCTTCAGGTGCTTTCGTGGATTCCAAGCTCAATTCAGATTCATTAACTTTTGCTTCCAATTTCCTATTTTCTTCATCAACACTCTCAGTCTGAACAGACTCAATTACAACCACAGTTTCAATCACTACCGGATTAACCGAATGGTTTGAATTATAACTAGTTCCTTGATCAACCCCAAGCAATTTATTACCACTGATATTTTCTTGATCATGCTTATCCTGACCCTTTATTTCTTCTAGCCCCTCCTTCAGCTCTTTATCAGATCCCAAATTCTTACCCACCTCTCCTGAAGTTCCAGCTTCACCACTCATACCACCTCTGACACCATCAATTGCAACCCCTTCAACCAAAGGACTCAAATCCCCATCTGCCCCTTCATGAACCGAACCCAACACCTCACCTCTTCCTTCACTTCTGTTTTGATCCATTAACAATTCCTTTACTCTCAAACCTGAAAAGATACTCCAAACAATGCCACAGTACAAACCCTACCTAAAGCTCCCTTTTTTATTATAATTACAGGGGATGAATAATGTGATCAAATGTGAAAGGTGGAAAATACATATCTTCCAACGACCCACTTCCTGATTTGAGCAGATATTCTTACAAATAATCAATTTTTTTTTTTTTAAATGAAAACTTGGAATGTCACCTATGAGAGGGATGACCTCACTCTCCAAGGAAACAACCCCCAAATAGCCGCAAAGATATGGAGTTTACCTCTAAATATTAAATTCCACAAACGAGTTCAACTAGGATATGCTTCAATCCAACCCACGCCAGGTAAAACCTGAGTGGCATGATTCAACGGGTTAGCGGAAGAAAAAAAAATGCAATTAAGTGGGGAAACAGGAACTGGGAAAAACAGTAAGACAATGATTTTGAGTGCAATTGAATCAATTATATGAATTGGGTCGGTGAACAAAGCAAAGCAGATAAAAGGGTTACTTGTCTTTATCCGACAATTTTAACAGTTACTCATTTTTATAATATTATTATTGGAATGTCATTTATGAAAATATCTAAAAATATGTTTGATGAATTTTTAATATTTTTAAAAATATTTTAAAATTTTAAATTAACTAAAATAAAAATGATCTGTAAAAGTAGGTTAAAATATAAGTTTTCACATTTCATTGAAATACAAGTTTTTCATTCTTTATCATAGGAATCAAAATAAAATTAATTTTGTGATTTTTTTAAAAAATAAATTATACTTAGAAATATTCTTTTAAAACTCTAAACAAACGTTAGAATATTACATATTCTACTCAATATTTGAGAGAATAAATTTTTAATCCGTGAAGCAAATACATTCTTAATTATTAATCAATAAAAGATAAATACAAATGACTCAATGTTATATATAAAGGATAAATATTTATTTATTTATTATAATTAAGAATACAAGTATTTGTAATTTTTTCATATAGTTTTTTTTATAGTTTTTTTTATAGTTTTTTTATATAGTCACTCAATTAAAAATATTAACATCATTTAAAATACGTGATGAATTTCTTAATTTTAACAATAAGACTATAAGAGAAATATTACCAACACTAATATTATAAAATTACAAATTTTGATAAGTATAGAGTTTTACTTAATAATTTTTCTGATTTAAAAGTTGAATTTACCAAAATAATTTTCAATGATTAAATCAATAATATGATTAGAAAATAAACTGGGCTTACTTAAAAAAAATTAATACAAAATGTTATTAATATTTCTTTTTAATAATTATTTAAAAGTAATATTAATGATTATTTTGATTAATCAGCCATCTACGCCTAACAAATATTAATTAATAATAGTTTAATAACTCCTTTGTTCTCGGTAGTTTTATAACTTTTTTTTATATAATTAAAAACATTGCATTTTAGTATGTATATATGCCTATTTTATTTTATTAAATTTCTATAATTTTATAAATTTACCTTTTAATTCTTAAAATAATAGATAATTGAGATTAAAAAATGATATATACAAAAATTATTCCTTTTATCCTTTATATATAAAAAGTTACTAACTTATAAAAATCCATTAAATAACATTATACTTAATTTAAAAGATAATTTTTTTTATATAACTTGTATTGTTAATAGATTAATAAATATACACACTTATATTAAAATATAAAAAAATAATAATTAATACATTTTAAAGTAGATATTGATTGGTTATAATCATGATGTATAAATTAATAACGAATCCATAAAAGTAATTAAGATAATTAATTTTCTTTAATAATATCATAAAATTTAAAAATATATTTTTTAATTGATTAGTTTAAATAATTGTTGTATTAAATAACATTACACTTAATTTTAAGAGATAATTTTTTTACATAACTTGTATTGTTAATAGATTAATAAATATATACACTTAAAGTTGAATTATCACCCTGAGAATGTTTTTTTGAAAAAGTAAAATAAAAATGATTTTCAAAAAATTGTATTTAAAAAAAATTATATAACTATCAAACTAAGATTCACTTTAAAATTCTTTAAAATATAAAAATATTTTTGTATATCAAACTAGAGAGAGTTAAAAATAAGATTTATATCATTGTATAAAGTAAAAAGGTAATTAAAACATTAATAATTAATTGCGGAAGTTTCTCATTGAATATTATGATCTGCTGCTAGAGTTTGACGTGAGCAGCAGTTGTAACGGGCAAATGGGTGGAGTGCCGTAATCAGAAGCTCCTCCAACTAGGACCTATATATCCTGCGGTCAAGTAGCAGAAATTTTAATTTCTTGGAAACGAACAACAAAATCATTTTTTGACCCATTCACTCTTTTACTTATCGGCCACTAATCTTTTAGCCAGAAGACAAATAGTCAAAATAAAATTTAACACTGATAAAAAGTTATCATTTATATATAATTTAGAATCTATTATGTTAACCACTAAAAATTAAACTTATGATAATAAATAAGTAGTATGATTTGACTTTTCAAGTTAATATATATTATTTTAAGATAATTTTTTTGTTATCTCTCTTTTCTTTTGATAATGAAAAGTCACAAAAGAAAAAAAATAGGCTAAAATTCTAATTTGGTTCTTTATAATATTTTAAAATTTTAATTTATTCTTACTTTAATTTTTGAATTCAATTCAGTTCTATCTATTAAAAATGCTAGTAATGTTTGTCTTCCGTCTAAATTTCTCAAACGCTGTTTAGAAGTGTTCATGTAATTGAGAATCAGGGGCGTGATTGGGAATTACGGGCATGATTGAGAATCACGAGTGTAATTCTCACGGCTCTTAAAACGGTATTTGAAAAATTTAGACGAAAGATAAATATTGTTAGTATTTTTGACAGGTGAGACTAAATTGAACCCAAAAATTAAAGTGACACTAAATTAAAACTTTAAAGTATTATAAGAGACCAAATTAGAATTTTAGCTAGAAAATTATATTGTGATTTGGACATTTAACTTATTTATAGACAATCATATGCTTATCTTTTAATATTTATATTTTTATTCTTTACAAAATTAAATTATCCTTTAATTACTACATATTAAATGTTTCATATCCTTTCAAATATCTAATTATTTAAATGATTTATATGTCATTAAGTATCCTTAATATATAATTATTCACATATAAGACCAAATTAATTAAAAATTCAACACAAATATTATTCAATAATCACTTCCTTTTATTTGTGTATATTATTAATTTGTTGGGTTCTTTTCTTATGTGTGTGTCATTGTTATTATTCTTCTTTTTTCGTGTGTTTGGTGTTCAATTCTTCCTTTATTTGTTGTGCCTGTAATGTTTAAAATAAATATTTATTTATATAATTAAAATTTATAAATAAATATTTTTCAATATATAAATTTACTAGTATTAAGTAAAATAATTAGAGTACAATAGATATATGTAGATATAGATTAAATCTTCTTATTTTAGTGATGAAAAATTGATATATACAAGATTTCAAATTCTATTGTTATTATCGTAAACTAGAAACATGAAAATATAATTGTAAACATACAAGGCAAATCCTTAAATTGCCATAAAAAAGTGTTATTGAAAGAGATATGTGTAACTGTTATGAACTGTAAGTATCTAAGGTTATTGATGAAGTTCATTTAATAAGTTTTTTTGGAGGTACTAAGTTAGAGAGATGGGTATTTAGTTGCTTAAGTTGAAAAAGATAAAGATGAGTTTGCAAGAATTAGGAGCCGCTACGTAATCTCGAAATGATATTTTGAATTGAAAATGGCCTAAAAAGAGAAAAATATCACACTTTTATTTTTTGACAGCAGAGAAAATTATCACATTAAATTTTGAATCAACTAGAAAAAAGTATCAATATAATTTTCTCTGAAGTAACTGTAGGACTGTAGCGATGCATGTCTTTTGGTGATGAGTTGTAACAAGTGTAATAATATTATATAACTGTATTCGTCTTTTAATTAGTGAGGGAGAAGTTGAACTTTTCTACCATAGAAGATTCAAAACTTCAAGCATTAAGCTTGGAACAGTTTGAATTTTATATTTTTAAGGATTTACTTTTAATACGTTAATGCGATGAGTTGTGATTTTGTTGATAAATATTTTGTAAATTTATATTGATTATAAAAAAAATGTAAGTATATTTAGTTTATGAAATTGAAAGTGTTGCAACTTTTTTTTTTACTACATAACGATAATAAAAGTAACATTGTATTCACTTTATATAACACGTTATGTTTTTAGGTGTTTTACTTAATTATATATGATTTATGATTAACTATTATTTTGTTGTGATTAATGTTGTTTTATGGCTTTAGAAGTTAAGTTAAGATATCTTGAGAGTTAAGTTGATTGAAGTAATTTGAGTTAGGTGTTAAGTTAGTTCAAAATTAGTTGTTAGATTTTTCTAAAAACTAAATCTCATAAATTTGTTTTAATAAAATTAGGAAGATTAGAGAGAAGTTTTTTGGAGAACCAAGAGACTCTTTCTCCCTTTTTTCTATCGAATCATTTCTTCTCTTTTTCCTATAGTTGAATCCACTTGATTGAGTAGAAGATTCATATTCCCTAGTAGGAATCCCGGGTCAAAGTTGTGTAGTTTTCTTTTTCTTTTCCTTTCTTCTTGGTGGATCAACTAGAGGTAAGAGAAGTTTGTGTTTGATGTTTGTTGAGCTTTAAATGATGATTTGTTGTTTGAATTCACTATTTGGTGACTATTTTAGAATTGAAATTTAAAAGGAGATGATGTTTAAAGTTGCCTATAGATAAGATTTAATGAATTTGATTTAATTTGAAGATGTATATGTGTTGCTTTAAGTTGTATTTTGATAGTTGAAGTTGTAGAGTTGTATAACATTTATAGTTGAGTAAGTTGTAAAGTTGTTAAATACATGATGAAGATACATATCTTAATTGAGATATATAAAAATTATAGGAGAATAAATTTTTTTATATGTGTGTGAAAAGATAAAGATATATATATATA